TTTCTTGTCAGCATCCCCGTACTCAAGGCAAGCAGGCGAGGGGGGCATGTATTGGTGCCTTCGGTGTCAGGCTGCGTTGTGGTTTCCGCGAGCGAGAAAGACCAAATCCGTGTCTCTCCACGGGAATTATGGAGGCCAGCAATTTCCTTCGGATCTCGCTGACGCCGAGCGGGAGAGTCGCAGATCCCTTGTAGTGCGAGAGGAGAGGAATTACTCGGCAGTCATTGCGTTAACAGCTGTGGAGATAAATGTAAGGTGGTGCGCGAGGTGCAAAGTCAATTGAAGCCAAATTAGGTGGTTTTACTTCGTCTTGTGGGTACTTTCCCCCGTGCACAGTCTCCTGTTAGTTCGTTCTCTGCCTGATAACACTCTTGGCTGAACAAGTAGGCGCCTACTGTGTAATTCTCGCATCGCTTAACGCCTCCTCCTGTTAATCCTTAATGGCTTCGCTTCAGTTCTGCTGTCAGATTTCTGGTGGGCTCCAGATTTCGACACTCGAAATCCAATTGCGTTGTTTGTGGGATGTCCCGTCCTGTTGATTGTATTGCCTGACTCTGCGTAACCTGCCTTGATCACCCAAAGAGTGATTAACACGTGGAATTCACGGCCACAGGAGGAGGTGGCGGCGGCTACAAGCGTGGGCGGCTTCAAGAGGGAATCGGATAAACATATGGAGCAGAGGTCCATCAGTGGCTATGAGCCACAAGGTATAGATAGGAACTCTCAGGCTGGGGCAAGGGATGCTCTATATTCTCGGTGCTTGGGTGGGGGCAACAGTGGGAGGGCTTCTAGTGTCCTGGCCCCACTGCTGGACCTCCTGATGGCACCTGATATTTTTGGCCACTGTGTGACGGAGTGCTGGACAGGATGGGCCATTGGCCTGATCCAACATTGGCTTCTTTTATGTTCTTATGTTCTACTCCAGTTTGGTGTAGTGGTTAAGTGTGCGGACTGTAATCTGGGAGAACCGGGTTTGATTCCCCACTCCTCCACTCGCAGCTGCTGGATGACCTTGGGCAAGCCATAGTTCTGACAAGAGCTGTTCTCTCAGGGGCAGTCCTCGAAAGAGCTCTCTCAGCCCCACCTACCTCACAGGGTATCTGCTGTGGGGAGGGGAAGGGAAAGGGGTTTGTAAGCCACTCTGAGACTGAGTGAAGGGAGGGGTATAAATCCAATCTCCTCCTCCTCCTCCTCCTCTTCTTCTCCCAGAGAGAAAGGCATAATATCAATAATGTAAAAAAAAAAATCAATACATAAATGCAGGCATATCGAAAGGAGACAAATGTTGCTTGCAGCCTGCCAGTCTGAGTATAAGAACCCCACACTCGGCCCAAAGTTATCCCCTCTGGTCTCAGACTTGTGGGTATCACATACAGTTGTCAGGCCTGGGTTGGGAAATTCCTGGATATCTGGGGGGGTGGAGCCAGGGGAGGGCGGGGTTTGGTGAGGGGAGGGGCCTCAGCAGAGTCCAATGCCCATAGAGTCTTTCTTTCTTTCTTTCTTTCTTTTTAAACTGATTCCTGTCATCTGGAGATCCGATGCCATTGTGGGAGATCCCAGGGCCCCACCCGGGAGTTGGCCGCCACATCCCCTGCCGCACCGCTCGGAATCGATCCCCAGAGGTCTCACGCCCCAACTGAGAATGGGGGCACGCCTCAGATTCCTTTGTGTTGCTCTCGAAGTCACAGCAGCCCTGCTGGGAACCCAGCCTGGCCATCCCGGGTAGCCGGCTCGCCTTCCAAGAGACGCTGCGCCGGTAGAAAGTCCCGGGGTGTAACCAGGCCGAAAAACCAGGCATCGGAATTCTTCCTCTGCGACTGCTAGCAAGGAGGCTGGAAGGAGGGGGCCAGCAGCTGAATAATTCATCTCCCTCGTCTGCAGACTGGAGCCTTCTCCTATTGCACCGCTTCTCTCCCCGCCAAGGTCGCCCAGGGGTCCATCTGCAGCCCCCTTCTATTAGTGTCCCATCCATCCATCCCCCTCTCCCAGCGGGCAGATGACAAAGAGCTCCCCAGACATCTATCTTCTGTCCCTTCCCCAACGGTTGCCAGTGGACTTTTCACACATTTGGAGACAAAGGCACGGATTTCTCCTCCCCACCTCCTGCCCGCACGTCAACCCGAAGGGAAGAACCAGGAATTTGGGGGGAAACGGAACAGAAGCCGCCTGAGAAGAGGCAACCGGTTACTACAAAGGCCTGCTTTCTTTTTCACTCTCTCTGCAAAACAGTTATAAAGACATAAGAACATAAGAGCCGCCCTGAGCCCGCTCGTGGGGAAGGCGGGGTATAAATATAATGACATAAATAAATAAATAAATAAATAAAGAGATGCCAATGCTGGATCAGGCCAGTGGCCCATCCAGTCCAACACCCTGTGTCACACAGGGGCCAAAAACATCAGGTGCCATCAGGAGGTCCACCAGTGGGGCCAGGACACTAGAACATAAGAACATAAGAGAAGCCAATGTTGGATCAGGCCAATGGCCCATCCAGTACAACACTCTGTGTCACACAGGGGCCAAAGATACCAGGTGCTATCAGGAGGTCCAGCAGTGGGTCCAGGACACTAGAAGCCCTCCAACTGTTGACCCCCCCCCCAAGCACCAAGAATACAGTGCATCACTTGCCCCAGCCCGAGAGTTCCCTGAGAGCTAGTTTGGTGTAGTGGTTAGGTGTGCGGACTCTAATCTGGGAGAACCGGGTTTGATTCCCCACTCCTCCACTTACACCTGCTGATGTGACCTTGGGTCAGTCACAAGCTCTGGCACAGCCGTTCCTGAAAGAGCAGTTTCTGTCAGAGTTCTCTCAGCCTCACCCACCTCACAGGGTGTCTGTTGTGGGGAGGGGAAAGGAGTTTGTAAGCCACTCTGAGACTCCAAGTGAAGGGCGGGGTATAAATCCAATCTCTTCTTCTCTTCTTCTTCTCTTCTTCTACCTTGTGGCTAATAGCCACTGATGGACCTCTGCTCCATATGCTTATCTAATTCCCTTTTGAAGCCATCCATGCTTGTAGCCGCCACCACCTCCTGTGGCAGTGAATTCCATGTGTCAATCACTCTTTGGGTGAGGAAGGACTTCCTTTTAGCTGTTCTAACCCAACTGCTCATGTCTACAGTATGCCCCCTCCCTTTGCACGGTATGGCTCAGTTCGGATGAGCGTCTTCCTGGGCAGGATTTCGCATCAGCACTGCCGAGCATGTGCACTTAATGTTCTAACCCAACTGCTCATGTCTACAGTATGCCCCCTCCCTTTGCACGGTATGGCTCAGTTCGGATGAGCGTCTTCCTGGGCAGGATTTCGCATCAGCACTGCCGAGCATGTGCACTTAACGCTGGTGGAGTTTGAAGGATTGGGCCGTGGGGCAGCACGAATCCAGATCAGCTGTGGGGACAGGATGAGGCTTTCCCCATTAGGGTTGCCGATGTCCAGGTGGGGGTCTGGAGAGGTCCCAGAATGACACCAGATCCCTAGACTTCTAGGGATCCTTTCCCCTGGAGAAAATGGCTGATTTGAAGGATGGATTCTATGGCTTTAACCCTTCCTGCCCTCCCCAGAAATCACCCCTGAATTCCCTGAAATTTCCCTTCCTGGAGTTGGCAACCCTATTCCCCATTGATCATCGCACGATTGCTCTGACTTGGGTTTGTATATTGCAGAACCGGAATGGAAGTGCTTTTTATTTCGCTTTAAGGGCCCAGAGAGCAGGAAATAGGTCATGATGTCAAATTTGCAAAGCGCGTTTAGAGGCATCTGGCCAGAGGGAATCTCTTCTGGGCTACTGTGCAGGGAAACTTTACAAAAGTTTAATCTTTTTATTCCCCCTCTTAGGATGACAGAGCCAGGGCCGGCTCGCTCACTAGGCAAACTAGGCGCTCGCCTAGAGCGGGCTGGTCCTTAGGGGTGCCAAACTGCACCCAGCCCCCCCCACCAAAAGCCCCCCTACCCAGCGTGGCCCATTCCTGCGACCTGCCAGCCCATGGGAGGCTCCGCCGGCAGGAGCTGGGAAAGGCGCTGGGCAGCTGGGCGAGGCAGCAGCCGGGCAAAGTGGGTCAGTTGGTGCGGAAATCCTCTGGGCGGTGGCAGCAGCAGCACTCGAGGGAGGGCGGCAGCCCTTACCAGCACGGGGGGGGCGATGCATGGGGGGAGGGGGCGGCACACGGGGGGTGCCAGAAGGGATCCTCGCCTAGGGTGCAAAATAAGCTGGGGCCGGCCCTGGACAGAGCACAGGTGTTTCTTTGTGGGCATCTGGGCTAGTGCAGTGGCGTTTTAGGCTAGCAACTTTCGGAAGTTGCTAACCTACAACGCCATTGTACTGGCCCAATTGGAGTCTGGAAATGTCTTTGCGAGACTGGCATGAGAATTTCGTCTTTTATATATCGAAGCTGCCACTCGTCGTTCAGGCAAGAGGCCCCTCTTGAATGTTTTCTTTTGCATCGCATTTGGGGAATAAGCAATAATGTACGAGAAACAAAATGGCTTAAGCATAAACAAGTCCAAGAACCATCAGCATTGTATAAGATCCAGGATGAAATGGGTGTTACACTGATTCAGGGCTGGGGAGGCTGCTTCCTACAGGGGGGTCAGTTTGGTGTAGTGGTTAAGAGCGCGGACTCTAATCTGTGAGAACCGGGTTTGATTCCCCACTCCTCCACGTGCAGCTGCTGGTGTGACCTTGGGTGGATCACAAGGTCCCTCAGAGCTGTTCCCTCACGAGCAGTTCTCGAAAGAGCTCTCTCAACCCCACCTACCTCACAGGGTGTCTGTTGTGGGGAGGAGAAGGGAAAGGAGATTGTAAGCCACTCTGAGATTCCTTCGGGGTAGTACAGGGTGGGGTTTAAATCCAATCCCTTCTTCTTCTTCACTGGTGCCCGAACAATTCACAGCATCAGGGCGTGGGAAATCAGCATATCCTCTTACCACAGTTGTGCCCCCCTGTTTTCCACTGGAAGTCAAAAGGTTTGTGTCTCATTCAAGTGTGTGTTTTCTTCTTTCTGGTAGGTCCTAACCACCTGGCGCATCTACCTGTTTGGGCTCAAGGTGCCAGCCAAGGTGAGTGGGGGAGGAAGGAAGGCTGCTTGCTCTTCTCGGTCCTACCGTCTCTGAGCGGGGAGGCTCAGGTCCCTGCCACGGAGACTTCCTCTGACTCTCCCTTCTCTCCCCTCTGGCTTGCGACGCAGATCGAAAGCTCGTTCAACGTGCTCGAGATCCGTGCTTTAAATGCCCTGAATCACAACCAGGTAAGGGCCCGGGTCTCCCGCCCAGGTGCCCGCTACAATTCTGTTGGGGTGAGGTGCTGGGCGCTTATTGATTCTCCCTCCCCCCACGTCCCCCTTCCGCTTTCAGATCCTGGTGGAGACAGAGAAAGCGACCTACAGCCTGAAATTCCCCACTCCAGAAAGTGCCGACCAGGTCACGAGACATGTCAACACTGCCTTAGCCAAAATATTCCCGAGCCCAGCCTCTGTGTGAGTATGCGGCAGCGTGACGGAGGGCAGAGGACTTTGAGGACAGTGTGATCTACGAGGGTTGCCAGCTCTGAGTTGGGAAATATCTGGATATTTGGGGGGCGGAGCCTGGGGAAGGTGGGATTTGAGGAGGGGAGGGATCTCAGCAGAGTCTAAGGGCAGAGAGTCCACCTTCCAAATCTCTGTCATCCAGAGATCAGATGTAATAGCAAGAGATCTCCAGGCACCACCTGGAGGGTGGCAACCCTATCTGCAGATGTTTCTCTCGGTGCTTTTGGAAGATAAACCTAAGGGTCATGCTTGCAGCCAGCTGCTCAGAAGTAACCCTGCAACTACTCATCTTTATCATCAACAAGCAGCTGGCGTAGGGCCAGGAGGCATGCACTCTGCCTTCTTGCCTGTTGTTCTCAGCCTCTGTCTGCGGTGTTGTAAGGGTGTAGGAGACACTGGTGGGCTGAGAACAGCTAACTGAGGTTCCCCTGCTGAATCAGGGCTGGAGGGTGTCGGTGGCTCTGCACCAGCTGTTGGCTGTGAATCCTGACAAGCCTGCAGCTCATTCTCTTGCTGGCCAACTTCTGTTAATTCAAGGCTGACTACACACAGCTCCTCTTCTGAGGAGTCCTCGCTGTTGCTGAGCCCTGGCTGACCCACAACAGGAGGTTTTTAAATTACTCCAAGAGAGATCCAAGCAGGCAAGAGATGTTTGTCAAGCTGTGTAGGAAAAGACTGCCCCGAAATTTGCGAAGACTCATCCCCCGAATTTTTCGTTGTGCCATTCCGGGTGAAGTGGGAATATGAGAATTTGTGAGTTCTGATCCATCTCAATTGATTTCTCTAGCTGCTTGATACGCCATGGCAATGCCGAGACACCGGAGACGCCACGGGACATGTCTCCCCACTCGGAGAGCTCCAACTCCACCACCCACAGCATCTGCGGTGAGAAGGGGGCTGGGAACCCAGACCTGGGGTGGGGGGGAAGCAGACGGTGTGGGGGATGCGTTTCCGAACATCGCGTTTTCAGTTTTCAGTTCTGGTTTTCAGAACTGCGTCTTAGTCATGTAGCAAGGAGGCATTGCCACGTTCATGCACGGGAAATTACATGCAATTTTAATTACAGTTGCTGCATTATGCACTTAACCCACTGACCTGAAAAGTTCTCGGAAGAATGTAAGAAT